AACATATTATGTTAAAATTTGTAATTTGTGTTAAATTGATATTAATATGTTTTAGGTTCTGAGTAATTCAATGGCTAATGCTTTGGAATTTTATAGAAACCGGAAATGTATAAGCCTTCAAGGAAGTGAAGAGACTCAAGACTTTGTTAAAAGATTTAATGACACTTTTGATGCATTAAATAGAAGACACAAAAATGAAGGAATTAGGTTAAATAGTAGGGATTTTGAGGTAAATAGGTACACTTTATAATACACAACATGAATTTTTAGTTTTAAGTTTAAAACTTTTTGGTTCACAATAATTTATTAACTTTTTTAAAAAAAGGTTTTGGAAAGCACGATCAATTGGTTAAATATTTGGGAGCAAAATAATAAAGATGGTAAAATATCTGATGATGAATTTCTTACTCAACCAACTGCTGAAGGCCTAAGAGTTACGTTGCAATCAACTATAGATTTGTCTAATTATTTACTGAGTGAATGTGGGTACCATTATGTTCTCAGTAATAAATTTAACCAGGACCAAATTGAGGTGAAATTAATATTATATTATTATTTTTAACAGTTATTGCAGATTAATAAATGTATTATTCATTGTATTATTAAAAATAAAAGAAACTATAAACAGTATAGTTTATTACTGGATACTAATAACATTTTTTCAGGTGTTTTTTGGCACAATAAGTCAAGCAACCGGGCCAAATGATCACCCTTCAACTCCCACATTTCTTCAAGTATATAAGATGTTGTCTCTGTATTCTGTTTTAAAACCTCCTAAAACTGGAAACTGTAAAATCTTGGATTCGTCTTCTCCTAAAATATCTATTACAGATGTAAAAGAAATATTTAGTGATACTGGTAAATAATATCTCATAAAGTTAAAATAATATAAGCTATTGATAAATTTCATTGTGATGGCTTAAAAGTAAATTAAAATTAATTTTTTTGTATTTATATTTTAAATATTTCATTCTGTATATTTTTTTTTTAACATTTTCAGTGTGTATCAGTAATGATACAGCTGTTTCTACAAGTACTAGTAAAGTTTCGAATTTCAAATTAAAACTTGATACATTGATACAAGAAGGTAACTGAGAACCAGAATCTGTATTTGAAGACCACAATTATTTCCAAGCATCTACTATAAGACATAAGTTGTGTTATTTATTATGTGTGTGGATATATGTGTAGAAAAATATTTAAATCTACAAATTGTAATATTTGTTTGGAAACTTTGAAAGGTTCTACTGAATCATCTAATATACCAGAAGGAACCTTAACACTATTAAAGTCAAATGGAAAACTAATTTACCCTAATTTTCATGTTTTCAATTTGGTTTTAGTTTTAGAAAAAGGCTTCACTATGCACTGTACAGATATTGATGTATTTCAATTAACTCTAAATTATCTTTTGGATAATTATACAATAACATTCCCATGTGATATTCATTCTTCGGAAATTGTCAAAACTATAAGTATTTATTACGTAAGAATGCGAATGCGGCAGTATTGTGCTATGCAAAATCGACAAAAAAAAAAACATTTGTAAAAAAAAAAAATTAAGTGAATTAACTACATCATAAAATTGTTAAATAATTACTAAATTATACTATTATAGTTTTAAAAATAATAATTTGTTTTTATTCATTATTAATTTTTGTACTTTATAGTTTAAAACATTTGATATTATGTACATTAGTTTATTAATTTAACACAATAAAATAAATATAAGATGTTCACTAATAGGTACTATGTGAAGTTTATAACTAAAGACCGGATTCCTGTGCAATTGCATCTTTTTATGGCGTGTTCTAAATTCAATAGAAACAAGCTACAAATCCAAATCAAGAGATGTAGATTAATTTAAAGAAAGTTTTATGTTGCACAAAATTGCACGTTTTTGGGTTTTTGCACAAAATTGCACGTTTCGGTTTTTTTTTATAAAAATGTACTTTTGTACAAATATTTTGTATTTTGTATTATTTTTATCGGTGCTATATTATATTGTTATACAAAGTATTGGACTTTTATATCTAACAATATAATTATATATATATATATATATATAACGATATAATACGAAGTAATTAAGATAAGGTACTACGATAGTCGATAGATTATCGATTACATATACAGTTTACACATATAGTACTACAGTCTATCCGCAGCCGTCGTAGTCAACTCGTGTTTTATACAATTTTGTAGTTAATTATTACTTGATATTATTTAATTTAAAATGCCGAAAATTAGTAGTAGTCATTGTTCTAAAATAAAGTGTTGGATCGAAAAATATCCAGAGTTGAAAACCGAAGCCAAAATTATATTTTGCACGTCGTGCAATAAGGCTATTGGTTGTGAACGTAAATCACAAGTTGATGCACACTGTAATTCAAGTACGTACCTACGGTAACACTAATTTTCTGCTGTAATCAATAATTATTAAAAATTGTTTTTATTGTTTTTGTTGTTATTATTATTTTAATCAAATATTGTAAAATCAGTTATTAGTTATTAGTTATTACTTATTAAAATTAAAATTTGAAGTACCTATAATGAAAATTTTGTTTTTGCACGTTTTTGCACATTTTAACATTTTAATTGCACATTTTTTAGATTTTAGCTGCACAAAAATCCGGTCTTTATTTATAACAATTAATAAACTTAAATAAGTTGAAAAATAACTCAATATCTATGGTTTAATATTATACATATTTTTTAAGAAAGTGCACTATTAATTAAAAACCAGATTTTGAATAAAATTATATACCTGATGATTTTTTTTCAAATCAAATTTTATGTTAAAATTACATATTTTGGATCTTTAATAGTTGTATTAAATTAGGTATTTTATATATTTAATACTTAATAGTATTTTGTATTTGGATTTCACTGTATTCAGTGACTTACTCAATTTTATAATATAAAACTAATAGATAGCGCTACAATCGCTCATTGACTTTCCGTAACAGATCTGTATCAAATGATAAAGGTTCGTTTCCAGTCCTGTTAATCATAGTCCGTGGTGACAATGCTGCGAATATAACATCATCAATCGGAATGAATCAAAATTGGCGCCATATTCCCTGTTTAGCGCACACATTAAATCTAATTGCACAATCTGGACTAGGTGAAATAAAAAACGTTCACAAAAAAGTAAAATCCATCGTTGAATATTTTAAACGAAGTACAAAAGCAAATTTAAAACTTAAAAATGCACAAAAACAAATGGGATACCCGGAATTAAAGTTAATTCAAGACGTTTGTACGCGGTGGAACTCCACGTATGACATGTTTCAACGGTGTATCGATAATAAAGAACCTCTTATGAGTACAATTGCAATAATAGGTAATATGGATAATTTAGTACACGAAGACTTTGAACTAATAAAACACTACTGTGCGATATTTAAACCGTTTAAAGAAGTTACTATCGAACTAAGTAGCGAAAAAGGCATTTCGATTTCAAAAGTGTTAATTTTAATAAAAGCGTTACATTCACATATAAAAAATAAAGAAAAAGAACCAAATTTACCAAATGCTATACATTTGATGCTTTCTAAAATGGTAATAAAAGCCAATGCTAAATTTGAAAATATCGAAAACCAGCCTATTTTAACAGAAGCAACTATTTTAGACCCGCGGTTTAAAAAAAAAAGCATTTAATAATCAGTATACATATCAAAAAACATACGAAAAGATAGTACAAAAAGTTGCAAAAATTATTCGTTTAAATCAAAGTCCAGCAGAAAATGAAGAAAATGAGAAAACCATACCGACCGATCGAGAAAACGAAACTTCTGAAATTTGGCAACAGTTTGACTCTCAGGTACATACATTATATTATCATTGATATTTTGATATTTAAGTGATTTATAAAATTAGTTTATGATTTTTAGGTGTCTACTTCAACTTCAGTCAACACACCAACATCTGAGGCTATTGTGGAGTTGGATAGATATTTGAATGAACCTATACTAGACCGAAAGTCAGATCCTCTTAAATGGTGGAACGACAGAAAAAAAAATCTATCCAAATTTATTTGATTTGATGTTATTGCGTTTGTGTGTACCATCAACATCAGTTCCGAGTGAAAGGACCTTTTCAAAAGCTGGCTACACCATTTCCGAAAGATGTAATAGATTGTCAACAAAAAACTCGGAAATGTTGATATTTTTAAACAGTAATTATTAAATACTATTATTTAATTTTTAAATTTTATCCATTTTAGGCTTAGGCAAGTAACTAAGTTAATTTTAGAAGTTTGAGTTTATTTATTTTATTGTTATTATTTTTTTTTCTAGGGTAAAGAGAAGTGATTTTTTTTTGTATTTTTACAATTATTTTTGCTGAAAATAAATATGTTTATTATTTATGTAATTAGTGCTTTCATTAAATTTGAATACGAATCAATTAAATCTATATTATACCGATGGGGAAAAACTATAACTTTAGGTCTTAATACCCGGATACCTGGGGTAACAAAATTTATCTTTTTAAATACTGATTAGGATTATCTATTTAACAAATTCCACAAATTATTCTAATCAAATTTTTATTTCAGAAATGTAACTTCATCAAAAATGTATTTTGGAGATGTCAACAATTATGATTACCATATTGATTGTACTGTTATGTCTTACTTGGGTTTGTTCCTTCGTAGACAATTTTGAGTTGTTATCCTCTGTTAAAGAATGAGTTCGCTCTCTCGAAAGTACTACAGTACGCTATTGAAACTTATTATTACAGGAATTAAATTTTAACTCAATGAATTTAAATGATAATAATACTTTTATTTTTATGTAAAACGTACACACAGTAATCGAGTCTAAGACTATTTTACGACTGGCTTATGTACTATGCATTATTCGATGGCGACGGACGTCGTCTTACAAAAGTGCTTACCCATCTAAATTCTACGTTACCTATATTATATTACTATAAGAACAAGGGGTTCCTAACACCCCCCATGTAAAATGAAAGTCTATGGCCCATAAAATCGATCAAACAAGTCTGGGCGATGGACTTTCACATTGATTACTAAGTTCTATATTATCATCTTTGTCTAATGTCCTTTCCTTATGACATAAAATTGTATTCTTATTATAAATTATTAATACTAATATCAAACCTATACTGTTGATTAGTATCAGAATAATAAATAAGTAATCGTACGATTTGTTATTTTTGTTTTCATTGACATGACTTATTTGATTCTGTAATTCATCTAGGGATCTCGAATTTTCTACCAATTTGTTAAGATTATTTTTAATTTTGTAATTTTCTTTTGGAAATAATGAATAATTTAAGTTTTCACGGGGTAGATCCTTTAGCATATCAAAATTTATTGAAAGGTTTAAATATGGGGAGAAGTTTTTTACTATCTTCGAATTTATTTCTCTTTTAGGTATTAATTTTATTTCATCGTCAACAGTATTGGCCTCACAATTATTTTCTAGACTTAAAATACCAGTGCCACTTACATCTATTGTATATGTGTCGGATGAGTTTTTGCATGTTATTATTATACTTTCGTTATTTGTAACATATATCCATTCGTTCCTATTATCTAGCTTATGCCAAATATTATGGCTAAACTTAATATACTTAATATTACATGCTGGGGGTACAGATTTGGGTTTTCTGAATAACATTAATTCACAAGAATCTCCAACGTGTTGTATGGGTTGTTCATGTTTACAGATCATTGTGTTTGTAGTTGACTTACATTTAGCTAACTGATAATTATTTAGTTCTACATAGTACAATCGTGACTTATCTATTGCAACATACTCTGAGTTGGCTTGCATAATGGCATATAAATTATTATGTACTTTAGTCGGTAGTGGGATGGATTTATATAATACAAAATCATAACTACTTACTAATGGTATTTCAATAATAAATATTAAAATTCCTTTTATATAAACTACATTAATATTGATTATACGCAGTAGCTCCGATATACCTGATTCTAACAGATCCACTGGTATCCCTGAACCTACTGGTATTTGCAACTTAATTTCTTTTAATTGTTTATTAAATTCGTCGGTATCCAACAAACTAGAATGTATAAAACCTTGTAACGCTGCATTTACAATATTTACTAAATTTTCTGTCTCATATGCATATTGTGTTATGATAATGTTTAACAGTGCTATACGTTGTGCTAGAGCTTGTTTAAATTCAAGTATGCCTACTCTCTTTCTTTCTGTAATTGCCTCGTTTAGTAAGTAATTATACCCTTTCAATAATGTTTTTTCTTTACTTTCTAATTCTACTAGGGAGGAGTTGACATTGGTAACTATCGATTTTGTAATTTGTGTTTGTGTGTCTGCTATTTGAGATATGCGTGCTCTGGAGTGTTCTAATTCTTTAATTTTTTTATGAAAATATTCTGCATCTACGTCGTCGCAGACACCAAATAATACATTTGCAATTCGTCCAACTATGTTAATAAGACCTCTTTTGGTACGAAAATTTTGAGTTCTGGGACGTTCAACGATTTTTAGAACGTGTTCTTTATTGGTATTAATTTCATTTAAAAAACCGATTACTTGACCACTATGTTGTGCACATATGTGTTCTGTATATTCTTTGTCGAGTTGTTCACCTAGTTTGCATGACTTTTTTATTTGGTCCATGATTTTTTGTATTCGAGATTGCTTTTCGTTATAGTTTGAGATGTTTATATACGTAAGCAGATTCCAATGTGAGCTCGATAGTTGTAGATTACCGATTGTCTGAAAGAATATGCCTGACGGGTGTTCTATGAGTGAGTTTGAAAATTGAGTTGAGATAGAGTGAATGTGTAGAAAAAACCTGCAACATTATTAAATTAAGATTAGAGGATGATTTTATTTTCATTTAGCAATTTTTATTTCATTCTTGTGTATTTTAACTTCTTTTCTACCACGTTGTATCGAAATGTTTTCATTTTCGTGTAGACATGTCACCTTGAAAGGGCCCAACCATTTGGTGCCTAATTTCCCTTTCTGTTGATGATTCTTTATCCACACGTTATCTCCAACTTGTACTTCTATTTGGCAATTATTTTTGTCATAATTTTTCTTTGATTTGTGTTTCGCAGATATTATAGTGTCTCGGGCAATCTTGTGAGCTTCTTGAAGTTTTTGCTTCAACTCGGCTGAATAGTCATCGTAATTATATCGAATCGTTGGATTGCGAGAGAGAGTATGTGGTACCACTGCAGGAAAACCATAAACAAGTTCGTACGGCTGGTATTTGGTTGTTGAGTGAACAGTTGTGTTGTATACGAACATAGCATATGGGATGTAGTTATCCCAGTTTTTGTGGTCTTTGTCCACATAGTGTCGCAGGTACTCCGCTAGTGTCCTGTGCGATCTTTCAAGGCTACCGTTCGTCTGCGGGTGATATGGTGTCGTATTTAGTTTCTCAATTTCTAATAATTTACAGCATTCTTTAAACAGTTTACTTAAAAATTCGGTTCCACAGTCTGTTAAGATGGTTTCTGGAATACCATGTTGGCATATAAATCCTTCAACTAGCGCCTTAGCAACGGTCTGCGCATCATGAGAGTGTAACGGGAATGCTGAGGAAAATTTAGTGAGGTCGTCTTGTATCGTTAGTATGTACGAATTTTGTTTCTCCGATACTGTTAGTGGCCCCACTATATCAAGATATATCCTCTCGAACGGTTTCGACGCAGTGGTGGTAATTACCATGGGTTGGTGGGTTGTTGTATTGTTACTCTTATTTTTCTGGCATGATGAACACGATGCAATATACGCTTGAACATCTTTTTTCAAACCCTTCCAAGTGTAGTGTTGTTTAACCCTTTTAATTGTTCTAGATACCCCTTGGTGTCCACCCATTGGAGAGTTATGGAATTCTTCGATAATTCGGAGTTTTTCTGCGTTCGAATATTCGTCATCTATAAATATTAATATCTTAACTTGAGAGTCTTTAAAAATATATCTAAGCATGGTACGAATGTCATGCCACTGTAATTGATCCAAGTCATACGACATTTTAGACAAAGCGAGGTTTGTGATACCCTCTGACGAGCAAAAATTTTTTAGGTTAATTAGTGTATGGAAAACATTATTATAGGTTACGCTCTGCCAGTATAGCTCTTTGGTTATCAAGTAGACTATGGTTCTTCCCTCTGACACGATGCTAGCAATTTCCGTTAGTGACTTCTTCTGATTTTTAAGTTCTTCGATATGACCGAACTTCCTTCTAAACTCAAGTGCGATGCCTTGATTCATATGGAAATCTTGCGAGGTGCAGTGTCCCAAAACGTACTCTTCAGGTGCTTCGAAAATGTCCCCTGCTATTTCTATGATGTTTTTGTTTGATATTATCCGTTTTGTCTTTTCTTCTAGATAATTCTGGTACGCATTTGAATTTTCTTGTTCTTGTGTTATATTTGTGACGTTTATTCTGCTGAGTGCGTCTGCATTTGTATTTTGGGTTCCAGGCTTGTACACTACTTCATACTCGAATTCCTCTAGTTGTAGTCTCCATCGTATGAGACGAGATCCTGGGTCTTTCACGCTGAACAACCAAGTGAGTGGTCTGTGATCTGTCACTATGACAAATTTTCTGCCATATAAGTATGGTCTGAACTGTTTAACGGCCCACACTATTGCGAGGAGCTCCTTTTCTGTTGTATTGTAATTCTTTTCTGCTTTGTTCAATGTGCGTGACGCATAGCTGATTGGAAGATCCGAACCAATTTTCCCTTGCGAGAGAACTGCTCCTATTGCCATGTTGCTAGCGTCTGTTGTTACATTGAATGGTTTGGTAAAATCTGGGTGTTGAAGTAATGGTTCTTCGGTTAATATTTTTCTAAAGAACATGAATGCATCTTGGCAGAGGTCGGTCCATATAAACTCTTGCCCCTGTTTAAGTAAGTTAGTCAATGGTTTTGATTTCTTGCTAAAATCTTTAATAAATTTTCTGTAATACCCTACCAATCCGAGGAATGCTTTGACTTCTTTCGTGTTACGTGGGACAGGATAGTTAGATATGCATTCTACCTTAGCTCTGTCCGGTTTGACACCATCTTCTGTAATTACATGACCTAAATAATTGACTTCATGCCTCAAGAATTCGCATTTTGGTGGTTGCAATTGAAGGTTAAATTTCCTGAGTCTAGCGAATACTTCTCGTAATTGATTTATATGTTCTTGTAAAGTGGAACTTATGACTATGATGTCGTCCAAGTATACAAAAGCTCTGTATCCATTAATCCCTTGTAAAACTCTATTCATCAACCTCTGAAATGTTGCCGGTGCACTTTTCAGTCCGAAACACATTCGGTTAAACTCAAAGTGCCCTTTATCCGTGCTAAATGCGGTTTTTTCTTTATCATCCGGGTGTATTGATATTTGGTGATAACCACTGGCCATGTCCAGACAGGAAAAATATTTAGCTTTCCCTAACTGGTCCAAGATGGACGTGATATCAGGCATAGGAAATGCATCTCCTACCGTGAGGTTGTTGAGTTTTCGGAAATCGACTACGACTCTGTATTTCTTATCACCTGTTGAGTCTACTTTTTTCGGAACGATCAACAGAGGAGCGTTCCAGGGACTTTCGCTCGGGCTGATTATCCCATCTTGTATGAGGTGATCCACTTGTTTGTCTATTTCTGCCTTTTGGGCGTAAGGAAGGCGGTACGGTCTTTGGTAAATTGGTTGCGAAACGCCAGGTGTTTTTATTTCATGCATCACTGCTTCAGTAGACCTTATCTTATCTCCTTCTAGAAAAAAGATATCTGAGAATTCGTTACATAGATGTTCTATAGCTTCCTTTTCTTCCTTATTCATGTGGTCCCATTTTATGGCATCCTTTATTAGCTGAATGCGATTTTCTTTGTTTTCAGCAATTTTATTGGTGCTTATACTATTAATTTTTATTATATCGAAAACCTCGTGCGTTAGATTTGAAAGTTTTAGTTTTGTTAGCGTCTGAGGCTCTTCTGTTGGATTCATTACATTTATTAATATTTCTTGATTTTTTATTGTATTTAATACATTAGCGCATAATATTTTCTTATTTATCTCTTGGGCATGGACGAGAATGATTTGTTGCTCAGCTAAATCTTCATTGTCCACTTCAACCGAAACGATCATCTCGCTACGTGCTGGTATCGTGCTTACGTTGTCTGTTGGGGTTGTTATTTCTCCTTTACCCACGTTAATGATAACTTCGTTATCCTTTAGAAAAGGGTTTCCGAGTATACCATCTCCCGTGATCGGAAAAGAGTTATCAACTACTTGAAATTCCGTTTCATATGTTTTGTCATTAATTTCTATCGTTAGCACCGTGCTACCTAATGTGCGGACTAATTGGTCATTGATGCCCTGCATGTTGTAGGTTTTTGTTTCCGATACCAATATATTGTCTTTCAGAGAGTCCAATTTTATTAAGTTGAGTTCGGCACCTGTATCCACGAGTAAATTTGCGAAACCCATGACGCACTGTGTTATACCGCATGAGACGTGGTTATTTGTTAATTTGGTTTTAAAAGTTAATATTCTTGATTTTGGGCAATCAGTTTTAGTTCTCGAACCGGGCGGATGCCCGCCGTGCCCGGTTCTTTGTCGTTTCCCGATACTGATGGTTGGCTTTGAGTACTTTGGTTGGATCTCCTTGCGTCTGCGTTTTTCTTTTTATAGCATTCATCCACCACATGACCAGATTTTTTGCAATACACACAGGTCCTTTGTTTAGTCTCTTGGTTACTTTTGTAATCACTTTCTTTCATTGATTTAGACCGTTGACCTGTATCCACGTTACGTTTTGCATACTTACACTCATTTGTATTGTGATTGTTTTTATGGCAGTTTTTGCAATATTTACCGGTACTGCTGGTACTTTGTTTATTCTGGATTAGACGTTGCGCGTCTTTATTTGACAGATACATTTTTTCCTCTTCTAAGCTTTGTTTAATTGCTTCTTCTATATTTGGTAAATTTCTAGATTTTATAATTCCTCTGATGCTATTTGGTAGACCCTCTATAAATATTGTTAAAGCTGTTTCTTTTATAAAGTTGTTAATAGTTTTGGCCTCTGTAGATGATTTTCCATTCACACTGACGTTGCAAAGTTCGTGTAACAGTTTTTCTACCCTCGACGTATATTGTTGAATTGTTTCGCCATGGCGATATCGAGTTGTAGATAGTTCTAATAGCAGATACCCTGGTGTGCGTGTGGCACAGTACGACTCTTCTAGAGTTTTCCTTAGCATTTCCCACGATGAAATATCCTTATGTTGAGTTACCATGAAAGCATTACCTACCAGTTTGGTTTGGATCGCTTCTAACATTATGGGTTGTGTGCTTTCTTCCATATTTTTCATGACAAACTCACAAGCATTTAAAAATGAATATATTTTTTGTGGATTCTCACCATCGAAAATTGGGATCATATTAATTGCAGTTTCAAAAGATAATTTAACCGGTGTTGGGGCCATTGTTTTAACTGGTTCTGTGATTGTAGTTTTAATAATAGAATTTTTAGATACTGGGTTGTCTTTTATATTCTTACTTTGAGATCTTAATGATCGATTACCTGAGGAATTATCTAGATTTTTTAAATATCGAGGTTCAAAATTAGGATCTTTTTCAATAGAATCAGGGGTACTTTCGTC